TTTTTTTTCAAATTAAAATTCATCAGTTGATTGGTAGTTTATCAATGCACACCACCAAATTTTGCAGCCTGGACAACAACCCGCGAAATTGCATTTGAGTTTCGATTAAGAATTAATTAATTAAAATAAAATTTATCTAAATTTGCGATTTATTGGAGCGAAAGGCGATTAATTGATCAACTAACTCCTTTGTGAAAAGGCTATTTAATAACTTCAGTAATCTTAGAAAAGAAACCTTCGAAAAACTATTGATCCAATGACTGAGGTTTTTAACATTGAATAAAGTTAATACCGATTACAATAGCGCATCACACCAGTAGGAAAAAAGGAGCAACTAATGTGGAATTGAAAATCTGGGCAAACTGGATGTTGACCTATACGTTCGCAAGTGTATAAATAGGTACTGATCGAGTAAATGCCTAAGTCTCTATCGACTTCCTTGGCCCGATTTTTTGGTACAAGCTTAAGGCCACTGAGGAGTGCAGGAAATATATTATATACAATGGAGATGGAAATTTAATTAACTTATGGTTACTATAATTAGCCCATATATAGGAGACCAGTTCTTTAGTAGGAAACAGCAATTGTATTTTAAACACATGTACATATATTAATTGAAGGTCGATTTTTGAATACACTACGCCTAATGATGACCTATGTGCGGCCAGACCTCAAGCTCATGCGCCCCCATGTCAACCAACCAATGTTAGTTATTCAAAAGCAAGCAAACATTTTCTTTTGATATTCTCTTTACGAGTTTTTTAATGCCAGTAAATGGAACGGACTAACTGACTCTGGCTTTCAATATAATATCTTAAACACGAATCTTTTTTTATGTTAATAAGCGACTTTTCATATTAATCATTTAAATAATTTATCCAATTTTTAAAAACCAGACCAAACACTAATTTCATTGCGACTACACTAAAAATCCGAGGTGGAATCAATTTTAAGACTCTAGCGCTGTATATTACAGAACTTAACAACAAATTTTGAATTTCATCGCGGCTATCAAATCTCACGAAAACAAAAATCTGTCACGCTTTTTAATTATATTACTGCTGAAGGTATTTAAATGTTTTTTATTTGACCAGTTGTCAGCCAGGAATTTGGCATGGATTTTTTTTTCCCCCACGACATCGCTACAGTCTCCGAATAGAATGTTTCGAACGAACCTCTAAAGCATATAGCTAACATACAAACTGACCGATAAAAATCAAGTTCTTGCATGGAAACTCTTTGATTTGTAAAGGGGTTTACAGCATAAAAGCAATCAGGATTGTCATTTTTATACCCTACACAAGGTATATTAATTTTGCCACGAAAGGCCCTTTTGTATTTCGGGCTCAATTAGCACTAGCTGTGCCATGTTGATGTACGCGTCGTAGACTTGTTTAAAATTTCTATCACTTTTCACCTTCTCGTTCAAACCATTTTTGGTTTCGGAGAAGCTAATAATGTCCGATATGTTTTTTATAGACATCCAGTTAAGGTTTGGTGCTCGATGGATTGCAAGTGTTTTGTATCGGATCTGCTAAAAGGCCTGGCATTCACAGAGAAAGTGGAAAATTGTTTCCTTATTCCCTACTAGTTCGCAGCCTCGGAAGATGTTCTCTAAATGGCCAATATCCTGTTTTGGTAGCAGTATCTATTTAATAAGCTGTATCTATTTAATAAGTCTTTTCTTGTCATATATTGGCCACATCATAACAGATCTCACCAGATATTTGCGTATAGTGTTCTCACAGACTATGATTTACTGCTCAGAGACAAGAGACGAGAGAGAAAATTTCAGATTTCCCTTTATTGCAAAAATATATACCATATACTTCATAGAAAAGATAGTTTCAAAAACGCTGAAAAATATTTTTACTATAACTATTTATTCCTAAGTAGTACTTTTTTCAACTGAAAAAAAATAATAATAATTGTTTAATTCAAGCATCCGTCAATGTCGCTAATCTAATCAGGAAACTCCACTTCCGTAACTAGTGCGATTTCAGGTTAATTTCGATGCTCACTAAGCGCATTGATCTCTCACAAGCTAAGCACTGCCGTCTAAACACGCACTACTCACATATCTTTATGGGATATTTTAGAATATCCACTAATATCTGTGCGGTTTTGTCTTATTGCTTAAATGCATCTTTGGCAGTTTTTCATAATTTTAAAAATTTCTTTTTTATACTTATTTATATATACATTATTTGCTTTGTGTTTTTTTCTTTTTTTTGTATTTAGATTTGTTTGTTTGTTTTTTCCGCGTGCATTTACTCAGCACCCATTCGATGGAAAAGTTCGAAAATTTGCACATTTATTGAAAACTGTCAGAAACTGTGTCAAGTATGTACACAATTAGAAAATGATGGAATTTTTTTTTTTTTTTTTTTGCCTCAAATGAGTGAAATTGTGCATTCAGTTCAAAGGAAGAAAATAATAAAAGCAAAATGTAAAAGCCGCATGTGTGGTTCCAAAACAGTTTTGGTACAAGCGTGTAAAATTTGTTATGTAATTTGGAATATTTGAAAATTATTTTCAAAATTTTTTATTTCATTTTAATACCTTTAATATATTACATATATATATATTTTATTAACTTATATATTTTAATATTTATTTTTATGGCTCACATGTGTGGACATATCAAAGAACTGAACTGTAAATTTGAATATGTAGTATTTTGTTTTTTCGTGAAAATTTTGCAATAATTAAATAAAAGAAATTTAAGTAAACTATAGTTGCTGCTTTGTGGTTAGTTTGTGACCGATTACACATATTTTTATTGACTGTGCCATAAATATTTGAACTGTAAAGTGTTTTTGGCGAGTTCGATAAAAGGAACTTTTACGCGCCTGCATATATTTTCACAGCTTTATAAATACAAATTTTTATCGTTTATTTTCCATGGGCCACAATATTTATTTTTCATTGCTGCCAGTCTATGAATGAAATAAAAATAAAAATAAGAACATAAAGCCAACTAAATAAATAAAAGTTATTAACAAAATTAATCTAAAATATTTAGTGCAACCCTGCTCGTATTTGTGCAATATCCAGTATACTAATTTGAAACTCTTTCAAAAAACTTATATGAAATAAGAATGCATGAGAATATACAATAAATATCACGAATTTAATTATTTTCGGTTTCTTCAAATAATTAAATTGCAAATGGTTTGCAATCAAAATTTTTTTTTTTTAATTAACTTCTGTATATTATAGATCGTAGATTTAGTTTTATAACAACATTTGGCTAAATATTTGTATTAAAGAAAGAGAATTAATTTCAAAATCGACAGAAAGTCTTCGTTTCCACGACAGTAACCGGAACGAACCCGGTATTCGATCCGGCCAAAAACTGTCAACTCGACACCATTCCTCGAAACTAATTTTGGAATGTTTTCTGGTACTTTGAAAATAAAAATAATAGAAAGTCTGCTCGAATAACGAGAAGCATTCATTTCGTTGTTGAATTTCGTAGTATATTCTATATTGTACGTTCCTTTTATTCTGCAAAGACATGCTACAGACCGAAAAAAAATGGAAATTCGTATATTAGGTAACGTGTTTTTCAATAGGGACCGATAAGGACAGCAACCGTCGCAATGATTTTTCTCACTTTTTCTAACATTTTTCTTCATTACATATTGCCATTCCATCATGGAAAGATGTGCAATCAAAAACTAGTTGAATTTATTAATGTAAAAGAGCGCTACAAAAGTTTATTTTTAAGTAAAACAAAGACGGTTTAAGATATCAATGAAAGTATTTATTTCTGTGCAAGTATATTCGTAAGTAACCCATGAGTCACCATTGCATCCCGAACAATTTACGGTTTAGTCCGGCCCTCTTGAGGTCGGTCGCTGAGGTGAGTTTGGAGCTCGCTTTTGTTGAATAAGAACTCCAATATCGAATTTACATAACTAGAAGAGACCATGTCCTGTTAAAACTGGATATTTCATCGTGTTCATGGTATTTATATATGAAAAGCAGCAAAATTTTGTACAAACTTTGATTGATGTACATACGTTGCATGATTTATTGTCAGCCCATTTGGTTTGAAGAATGGTTCAGAAATACTCCTAAGAAAAACTGCTTTCTAGAACATAACTTTGGACACATTTTTTTTTTTTTTTGATAATTAATTTGTACTTCTTCTAGGGAGGCTTTTGTGTATAAAATATCGTGGGCTGGCATTTGTCCACCGCTGGGTGAAAAGCAGTTTCGGCATCCTAATTTAATGGCGTTCTACTCAAATTTTTGTACATCCAGGGACATTGCGATTTCACTTGACGTATCTGCTTTCTACCTAGGACAACACTGTTTTTCCTGGCGTCGGCTATCTTTCAGAAGTCGATGATATATTTCTTCTGGAGACGCCTTCCGCCACAATGAGCTAAAAAATCTATGATAATTCCATACAGGCTTACTTATAAAGTCGAATATCTCGAGAAGTGATAGCAAGTTTTTTCTCTGATCCTTATTTGTAGCTAATAAAATTTTCTACAAATTTGTCACCTACATTTTTTTGTAGCTTTCGTCATTTACGCGATAAATACAAAAAAACGCGAATTTTGAAAAAAAAAAAAATTGTAACATAAATACATTAGCACACACGTAAACTTTGGTCCGGCGGTTTCATGTTTTTTATAAAAATTTGCCATGTGGTTGCGAAGGTGTCGGCTTAGAAGCTATTTTAAGTACTAATTGAATTTGTAAGCTGTTACAAATTACACACCAAATAGATGATACAATCAGTTCGCAAATTGCATAATATTACCATTTGAAAAATAAAAACAACAAAATAGCCGACATTAAAAGTTAATGCAAATTTTTAGTTATAACACGTTATAAATCAGTATTTTGTTCAATGGATGAAATAGAATGACTTTTATTTGTGCTTAATATTGTTAAAACGCAAAAAGAAGTTAAGCAAGAAGAAATATAAATGAATAAATGAGTATTTCAGTTTTCTTGGTAATTCTGCATTTTGCTGATTCGCAATGAAACCCAACCCACAAATTTCTGATAGCCGTTTTTTATAATTCCAAACTCTTAAAACTCATCATAATTCCTTCCAAACAATATTTAACTTCTAGGAAATCAATTTGTCTTCTTTTAATAAACATCTTAATTGCTACCCTCCTTTCTCCCGTTTTTTCTCCATTCTCCATTTTCTTCCTTCTCCCAAATTAAATTCAAACTGTATGTAAATAAAAAAAATCGAATGTAAATAAATCACTGCATTTCTTGGAAGTCCACTCAAAATCAAAAATTATCAGAATCAGCGCTACCGTCGTACATAAATCAAACAATTACACGATAATTCCAAAGAGGGCGGCCACTGTATCCAATCATCAAAAGCTAAAGTGCGCACACCCATACACACACACCTCGAGAAATAATACCAAATAAGGAATTAATTGCGTTTGCAAAATAAACATTTTAATTGGTAATTTTTAATGAACTTTATTCTCCACTCTTCTTCGCAGATCAAGTAAACTGTTATATGGGTCAGAATGAGGGCTATTTCTGCAATAAGAATCAACACACCTTCACACAGACGCGCTGGTTCTTCGACAAAGGCGCTTGCAAAAAATTCAATTACAAGGGCTGCTACGGCAATCGGAACCGCTTCTGCACGAAGGAGGCCTGCGAACGACGCTGCCTGGGATAAGTTGTGCCTTAAAACGAAGGTGTTTAAAAAGGGCAAGGTAGCCTTTGCCGCTTTCTCTAGTGTGTGAGGCGTAGAAAAATGAGATACTGAAAGAGGACCGCAGTGCCGCAGAGCCTCGGAACTTATTTAACATTTATACTCGTAATATAGCGTTTAATCAATATATAATATACTACCATTTAAGATTTTATAAATATGTAGTTATGTAATTGTATTGTAATGAATACTTAGTGTGTGTATGTAATCGTGAAAAAATACCTATATTTTCAAAATAAATGTAGTGTGAACATTTAGTGGTTTATTGCTACTGTTTTGTTGTTGGAACAAAATTGATGGCTGCTATTTTTGTTGTTACTAAGCTAGAATGTTGAATGTTTAAAGCGCACAATTTAAATCACAAAAAAAAAAACAATTAACTAAAAAAAATTAAAAACCGTGTACACCAACCACATGTGACCGCTCATTAGTGACAACCATCTAAAATCACCACTCGCTTCGCCTTGACCCACCTTAGCGCCCTCGAAGCACCTGCCGCTAAATGCGAACTACATTTTTATACTTTGCTGTCTATCATTTTTCACCCGCCAATCGATCGGCGACACTTTTCCTACCGACTACCCAAAACTTTGCCCCAGTATCACCTAAAAGTAGGTAATCAATGTATGTGTCAGCATGTGTGTTGCAAACATTTTAAACTTGTCACAGTGATCTGTCACTTTCGCGCTATTTATACACCAAAGCTTTCTGCTGTCTCCATCCGCGTCTCCGTCCTTGCTTGCTTGCTGCGGATGACGCAGCTTTAATGTGCGAAATCTCGATGCGGTTGACACTTTCGGTTCTTTACTGTCACTTTGGGGAAGAATATTGACACACGCTATCAGTGTGCGGTATCAAATAACGGTAATGATTTGTGTTAAGCACAAGGAACGCAGCTGGATGAACGGATTTGTGGGAGGATGCAGAAAATGTTGAGGTGCCTTTGTGCTATTTGAAAGGGTGAGGGTAGGGCGACAAATTGCTGGCATGAGCTCCAGGTGTTTTGGCGACATACCTTTGACGTCAACGCGTTCAATTGATAATATTAATTACTAATTGATATTTTTGTCTGATACATATTTATCACTTATTACTTCGAAAATTTGACATATTTCTGCTTCGTATGGGTTTCATTTACATCGTTCGTTGTCAAAATCATAAAGAATACTGACGAAATCCGGTTGGAATCCATCACAGTCAAGTAAAAATAGCAATATGTTGGCAGTTCTGGCTTTTCTGTGTTATTGATTATACAGGGCGATCAATTTAGAGATTGCCTACTTTCTAAAGAAAAAGCACACAAACTTCAAACTTAAAGGAGCATTCTCTTGTCCGCATAGACTTTACACATCCCGGCAGATAAAAGTCGAACGGTGTGATATCACATGTTCTTTCTGTCCAATTGACCGGCCCAAAACAAGAAACTATCTGCTCACCGAAGTATTGTCTCCATAAATCTATTGACTGATGCGATGTGTGGGAAGTGGCGCCGTCTTGTTGAAACCAAATGTTGCCGGAATCACGAGCTTCAACTTAAGGCATCAAATAGTCCGATATCATGGCGCGATAACGATCGCAATTGACGGTTACGTTCAGACGGACATAATTTTTGAAGAAATATGTACCGATATTCCAACGGCCCGTAAACCACACCAAACAGTTGTTTTCCTGAGTGAAATGACAGCTCTTGAACCTCTTGAGGTTACTCTTCGGCTTCAGTTCTTGCCCAAGCTGTATTTTCTACGCTTTCAAGTTAAGATCTCTACGCAAAATGCGCAAAGTCGTAACATACGTCGGTCCGAGTTGCTGCAAAAGGCGCCGAATCCACTTTCCACGTATACACTCTCAGCTACGGCTGCTATATTTTCCTCACTGCGTGCTGGACGTGGTCTATTTGTTAGAAAATTAGCCAATAATAACCTGAGCCTGGGTCTCAAGATGGGTGATGGTGTTGCGAATAATACGCACATTAGACCGTCTATATTGAGCATATGAACGTGAATTTTCGAATATTGGAGTCGGCTTTTAAGTCAAAACCTTCAGGTAAAAAACAAAAAACTATGTTGAAGCAAAACGGAAAAGTCAATGCAAGTCAATGTCAGTCGAAGTTAATTTCAGTATAAATACAAGTATATTACCGAAAACGTCTGAAGAAAGTACTGATAATTACAAGAACGGCTCGAATATAGAAAAACATGAAAAGCTTTCGAACAAGTTTTTCTTTTACTGCCATCTCAATAAACGATTCACAGAGTTATACAGAGAATACAGCACTTTGGACAACTACGGGATTTATTCTGAACTCTTGTGAATCCTGCGTGCTCCTAAGAATACCTCTCCAATTACATTCCGCACAATAGCCTTCCCAGTTGTCAGCAGGGTCAAAATTCGATAGTCTCTTAATAACATTCATAGCGTAGCCATAACATAGGCATCTTTTCCGACTCCATACTTCTGCCCTTAGGGTCAAACTGTCAACAGTGGCAAAAAAAAGGTTGAAGTTGTCAACTTATCCCATTCTGACTGCAATGCGACCTCTCAGCATACCTCCTTAAACCAACCAGCCCACCTTTCCCTACAGAAAAACCACGTCTCTACAAGAGCAAAAATAAGTTATAATCACAGCAATGTTCTATCTTTACTAGCCACATTTTAATTTTCGGAAAAAACAGAACTTTAAACCTTTATAATACCCAAGCTTTTCTCTAAGGAACTGATTTATGAATCTTGAGCTAATGTTCTCGTCGTACCTAGTCCAATTAGAATGCTCTATTTGATTATTGCCGACACCTTTAAACCAACTATACATATTAATAAGTAATGAGTCATAGAAAATATCGAAAATGCCAAAATCAAAATCTGCAAGTCATCAACCAAGCGTGATGATCATTTAAGCCTCAGTACATCGACAAATAATATTTTCTGTGTGAAAGTCATTTGGTAAAGTCAGAGACCGAGGCTCCCACGCACATTCTAATTATTTACGCGCCAACGAATTGACTCAAAAACAAACAGCAAACTACAAATACTTTTGAACGTACATATGTATCGTGAAAGTACCGCTAAGTAAAACATACCGTACATACATACGTACATGAGTGCGAACTTGTATGTATGTAAAATTTGAAATTGTATATGCAAGCTAAGTGCGTGACACACGTGCCTCAGCGGTTGCCCTGTAATACCCCGTATTTGATTACAAAGTAATGGATTAACATGAAATATTTTAAAATGTTATGCACATATATATATATATATATATAATCACAAGCAATTAGTATATGAGCGCATGTGCCATACACAATTTCACATAATTTGGCAGCACACTAGGCAGATATTCCCAGAATCACTGAGATAATTGAGAAATTCTGTATAATGTGAAATCACCCTTCCCCGAATCGCTATAGTTGCTGAATGAATACTAATAATGGTTGCACATCCCGGAGTTATTTCCAAGGTAAAACAAAGTCAATTGGAAAGTTCGCTGCCTGATACATAGATAAAATCCATATGATTTTTGACTGCAACAACTTTTGTTATTGTGAACAACAGGGAAAAATTATTTCGCTTGTTGATACAATATTGCGTTTTGAAAGAAAAATATATATTTGACCATGTCTTTATGACGAGTTCGCGAACACTTGCATAGGAAAACCAACCATCCCGAATTGGTTTGCTAAATTTAGGTGAAATGAGCAAATAGTGGACGCAAGAAAGCGGTTACTACCGACAAAAACGTCAAAAAAGTCCACAAAATAGTTTTGGATGACTATTAAGTGAAGTTGTTTCAGATAGTAGGCACTCTGAAAATATCAACTAAACTTGTACATCGTACATCATTCACGAATATTTATAAATGCGAAAGTTTTGTGAAAAGTTGGTACTGCGCGAGCACATTTTTGACCAAAAAACGATGACCTGGTGATCCGGAGCAGTGTAAGAGGTAAACCTGAGTTTTTGCATAGATATGTGACAACGGGTGAAACATGGTTCCAGCATTTCACTCCGAAGTCTAATCGACAGTCATCTTAGTGGTCGCTGGTGAACTGGCTGGAAAAGCGCAACAATCAGATGGCAAGGTTATGTCGTCTGTACTTTGGGATCCGCATGGAATAAAAACGTTATGGAAGTTGAGAGAACTATGTTATATAAAACAAAACAATTTTTGCCATAAAAATGTGTTTTACTATGAGACTTTTCCAATGACCTGTTACATGGCTATATTATTTAAAAATTTACCAAAAATCTTCCAGCACCATCTGAAGTTGACCCTATAAGTTACGCGTGCAAACTGAATCAATAAAGAAAAATTCCAAATTGGCACAACATTTTTTTATATTCATGTAGAAGTGCTTTTTGAGATGGACACATGTCAGTTCGCATTAAATTTGCTCAAAGAGTATTAATTTTCATTTTAAGGAAGTGCAATAACTGCGATACCAATTCAGCAAAAGGTAAAGTTCAGGTCACGCTGTGGTGGTAGTCATAATAAATGGTGACTAACTGGCCGCAAGCTAGAGCAAAATATAATTTTTTGACTAACAAATAAATCTTCAATATTTTTTTAAATATATTTAAAAGTTAGCTTTTGAAAAGTCAAACCGAGTACAGAAGCTACTAGTTTGATGACTACTATCCAGTACATGGCCAATGATTTCGACAGTTATATCCAAAGCAGTATGTAGTACGAAAGTTGTCTTTTATTCTTTTATATTAGGTTGTCAAAAAAGTCTTGCGGTATTTTTATTGAATTTTCAATTGTTCATAAAATTTTTTTTTGATGACTTATGCCCAGTTCTTGACCAATGCTACGGCTGCTACTATGCCGGTCCCTTTCGACCAATTCAGCGTGGCGCATCTTCGACCACCTCTACACCAGAACGAAAACGTTGAAATCATCGTTGTGCCGTGGAAAGGGAAACTGTAACGGGTCCATAAACTGCACAAATTTTATTGGCGGCTTGAGATGCATTTTTGCCTTTATCGTAGCAGTACTGTAAAATCTGCCGGATTTTCTCTTTATTTTGCTCCATGTTTGCGACGCTATAACTCACGAACGACTTAAAGGAAACGGCAACCAATCAAGCTCGTGAAATAAGCTTTCTAAAAAGGTATAGCATGAGCCGATGCGACGAATAAAACTAGAACTACGCGCT